CCACACAGGTAACAAGAAGGGAGTCCAGCACAATGGGCAAAGTCTTACAAGCACAGAGAGCGGAGAAGGAGAAGTTTAACCTAATCTGAAGCTGGTGGGGAATGTCTGGGGCAAGGTCTAACTGTCAAAGTCCCAGGGTGGCCTGTGGAAGACACTGGGGGCTCTAGACAGGGCTTGAAGTCCCTCTAAAGAAGGCGGCCCTGAGTTCAGAGAGTGGAATCAGAAGGAAGCAAGGTTAGAACAAAGGGTTGAGAGAGGAGGGAGGGCTTTGCTGCCTTGAGGACTTTGCAGGGGAAAGAGCGTGGCTGTGCTTCTGTTTCTCTGGATGGGTAGGCAGGTGACATGGTTTTGCTCTGTGGTTTTCCTCGTGCCTGCTGGTAAGAGACTCATCCACTGGGTGCGACAGGATACAAAATGTTGATTTTTAACAATCCCTCCTTCCTAGAGTGTTTGTTTCTCACATTTATTCCTTTTCTCTTAAAAATGGAAACTTTTTATGCTAGCTGGAGGACTTGCATTTTGGATTAATTTAATCTATTGCTTATGGGAGTTGCTTCTTCACATTTCACCTGAAGTTCAATTCTTTCTCCACTGTGTCTTGCATTTATTCTGCACCTTTGTCAGAACTGTAGTGAACTCCAAACACCGGGCAGCCAACCCTAATACATGACTTTCGGGATGAGTCAAGGCTTGAGGTATGTGGTTGGAGACTTTTTATGATACAGATAGCACTCTTGGGACTCTGGGTCATGCCTCCTACCTTTACCTGAATTTAGGCAGCACCCCAAGGACAATCCTACTTCCAACGTCCTACAAGAAGCAGAAATAAGAACAAAGATCCAGAAATGTTTAAATCTCTGGACCACAGTACATACATTTTAGATCCCATAGCTTGACAAAGATTTTCCCTTCCTGAACTTCATTGACAGTTCGTACACAGGGCCCGCATGTCACACATGGGATGAAAAGAGAGTGAACTGTGGGAGAGTCGTGCATACTGGATTCCCTGGGGTGACCTGCGCACCGTGCATCATTTCTGTAAATCATATCCAGAGGGATCGACTGAGAGGCACCTGGGGCTGGGCGTACATCACTTAAATCCAAAAGCCTGACTGATGTCATCTCTCAGTTCCTCCTGCATCCCAGTACCACTTCCTCCTGTTTGTGCCAACTTTGCATTTACAGTGGACTAATCTACACTTCCTGTGCACACCTTCCATGTTAACTTCCACCGACGCAGCTGCTTTTGCTTTTACCATTGGTGTACACTTGCAATTCTTTGGTAGCCATTCAGAAGCTCTCATCCATGCCCTTCTGCCATGATATTCCTGCTTTGGAGCCAGCCAACTATGAATTGAAATCTATTAAACTCTGAGACAAGGGGCTGGGGATTTAGCTCAGTGGGACAGTGCCTGCCTGGCAAGCGCTAGGTCATGAGTTCGATTTCCGGTACTGGAAAACAAAACAAAACCAAACAAAAAACTTTGAGACAAATCACTTGTTCCTCATTCAAGCGGTTTTTGTCAGATAGTGATGAAAGTGATGTAGTATCAGATAGGGATGAAAGTGTAATGAATGCACTCACCCTGCCAACCCTTGCTTGGCAGTCCCGCGAAGTTTGTCTCTGCTGGTCACTTGATGATGTCAGAGGTCCAGTGTCACATGGTGACAACTCCCTCCACGAGGGAAGACAGAGGGTTTCACAGGAACCACATAATTCATTTTTAAATAACAAAGTTGTCATTGAAGGGATGCAGATTTCAGTTTTGCAGGATGAAAAGGGTTTTAGGGATGATGGTAGCTATGGTAGTACTGCAATGTGAACGCTATGAAAGCTGCTGAGCTGCACATTTCAAAAATGGCTAAGAGAGTGCACTTTACATTAGGTATACATCACCCATCGCTCCATAGAGAAGGGAGGAACAGATGAGGTGCCCGTCCTGGAGCACCCAACACTGTGTGCAGCTTGTGTGAGTGAGGCCCTCCTCTCCAGGGCTGGGCAGGGTGAGCAGAGTGGGTGCCTGTGTGTCTTGGCTGCGGACCCTCCCCTTTCCATGGGCGATGTGCAGCTCTCTGCCAGGTGTCTCCAGAGCTTTATCAGGGCCGACTTCCCACTGCATCAGGATCCTGATTCTCAGGGGGCAAAAACTGTTTGTAGACCTAAAATTTTGCCAGGTGCCCAATTGTGGAGCTGGAGACACCCTGGGTGACTTTACTTTGGGTGTCAGCAGCTGAGCGGAGGTGTTTTGTAGCAGGTGTCAGGACCTGCAGTAGAACGGTCTCTGCTCATGTCCCAGGAGATAGGAGACCTGTTTGTCCCCTGAACTGAGTCTGCAGCTTACTTTCAAGGCTCCACCATGACACATGTTCAACCTGTCAAAGATGGTCTGGTCTGCTGTGCGCTCTGATGAAGGCATCCACACAGTGGGGAGAGAACTCCTGTAGATCTATAACAGGTCCTGCATCTCACTGTGTGTTTGTGTGTCTGCTAGGGTAAAGACCTGCTAGTGAAACAGGGAAGAATCAGGGGAAGGGAGGTTACAGAAAACAGAGAAAAATAAAACAAAAGCTCCTTAGATAAAGAATGGAGGCCACAGACATCAAATGTACCAAAGTCAAATAGGTTGAGTTTTGGCTCCTCCTTTGACTTTCCCAATGAAAGCCACAGACTTTCTGTTTACCTCAGTTTCCTCACTTGCAGAATCAGACCCCATCCATATGTACAGTTATCATCTGTCTATTTTACACACAAAGGAAAAATCTAGCCCTTCAGGGAATTATAATACCAGTGTAATCAAAGAGCAGTAAAAGCCATGCAAGCGTTATTGTGTGGTCACTCACGGGCCTTCCTTCATGGCCGGAGTGTGAGCATGAGACCTCATCGACATTTGCAGGACAGGCCCAGGCCGGCTTGTGGGGTCTGTCCCCCTCCCAGCTCTCCTGGCGTCTTCTCCCTGGGGTGAAGCACAGAATTCCCCTGAAACTCAGCTGTGCGACTCACTAGGCTGGATGGGTAGTGGCCCTGCCCCGAAAGGTGCCCTATGCTCCTCTGCCCCAGCCTTCTACTACCCACTGAGCTAGCTGATTTTCTACCCTGCCTATGCTTATTTATCTTTGAAGACAAGATGCCTGTGGGCCAGAGGTGCTTCCTTAGCTGAAACTGGTGGCACCTGAGGTGGCTGTGGGTGTGACCACCCGGCAACCTCTCCCTTCATTCTAATCCCACTCACATGCTGAGCATCTCCTTCTCCCAGGGAGATGACCATTGACAGTGGCCATGGGGATGGCTCCAAGGAACAATCAACAAAGTGAAAAGAGGTGGCCCCCAAGTTCCAGGACGATCTCAAGCATCCCCAGAAAAGGAGTCAATGATTTCCCTCTCCCCATCCTCATTTTTTACACCTTACACTTCTGACTTCCCCACCCCTATCAGGTTGAGAAAATGGTTTTGGAGTCTGCCTCCCACTTCTCAGGCAGGAATAAAAGCCTCTTTCATTGCTCAGCAGGTCCTTGGCCTTCGTGCTGGTTCTGAGAGAGAGAAAGGACGGGGTTTTGGGTCAAACACTGGCACTAGCTGGGAGGAGAGTAGCAGACAGTTGAGTCTGGGCAGAGATGCTGGAGGGACTCAGAGGAAGTGGGCCATGACAGCTCCAGGGGAGAGAGGGTGCTCTGGAGGAAGGCCCTGCAAAAGTAAAAGACTAGGGGCCTTGTTCAGTTTGCAGTGCAGCACTTGCCAGCATTTGCAAGGCGCTTGTTCGGTCCCCAGAGCTACCTCCTCCCAGTCAGTGGACAGGATATCAGCAGCAGGCATCCCCAAGCATGCAGCAGGGTGCAGGGCATGTGGGTGCTGCGCGGATGGTGAAAGAGGACAGGGAGGCGGGCGTGCTGGGAGAGGGTGTGTACAATGGATGAGGTTGGTACAATCCCTAGGGGTGCCGGGCATGGGATTGGAGGGTCCCTCCATCTGTCAGTGGCTGGTCTTTCTCACTCAGCCAAGGTGGGCTTGTTAGAAGCACCTGGCCTGTGAGTTCTGAGCTGGCTCCTTTCCCCAGTCAGCAAGGAGGGTGGGGTGAGGGAGGTGCCCAGCAGGAAGTTGGGTAATCATGAGCTGCTCAGAAATTCTAAGTTTCGCTTTCCCTATTGGGATCCTGGATCTCTGCCCAGAGGATGCCTGTACTCATTGCTTAGCCTGCAGCTGGCGACAAGACCGGCACAGCTCAGCAAGGCTCAGTCCCAGCACGGACAGAGGCGGATTTGTTGTCAAGTTGGGAAACCAGAGCAACATTAGTGTCCCCAGGTTGTAGATGAGCTCAGAGAGCTAGGGAATGGGCCCCAAATTACACAGTTCAGCAGCAGCAGATAACTGGATTTGTGCCTAGGTTTGTGTCTGACCCCTCCTATCCGTAGGACCTTCACAGGACACAGAAGACCACACAAATGGGTCGTGACCACTGAGAGGAGGAGGCTATGCTGGAACCTCTGTTCTGTGCCCTGGGGAACCCAGAACACAGCTGATGGGGAAGGGAGGCCCCCTGGCTGGGCTGAGGCTGCGGCCAGGACAGAGCCAGGGAGGCACCACCGGGCTTCTTCCCAGGCACCTCCCTTCTCCTCCACCAACAGCCTTTGCAGGAACGGAGCAGCTGGCAGGCTCAGCCACAGAGCCTTTCTCACTGTGTCCCTCACTGGCACCCGGCTGAGGCTCCAGACAACAGTCAAAGTGAGGCCAAGAGTGAGAAGGAAGGATGAGACCCAGGGTGCAGACTCACTGATGATGTGTGCAGTCACCAAGACCCCGGGTCTTTCTGCCTCACCCGTCCTCGGCCTCAGCTCACAGTCCCAGCATCACATGACCTCAGAATGCCAGTTGTCTCTGGGTCAGGCAGGGTTGGATGCAGAATAAAAGTGAAAGTGGCAGCCACCTGTCCTGTCACTCCTGTCCCTTAGAGTAACAGGACCCGAGAAATGTCCCACCTGACTTTCTCTTGTGCCTCACTGGTCAGGGATGGGTCAGATGGTCTCTACTGATAGCTAGGAGCCCAGGAAGGAGACACCCAGATGTCCTGTGGCCGAGGGTAGGAACAGCCAGGTGAGTGGGGACGAGGGTAGCTTTGTACTTGGTGGCCAGGCATTCGGTGGCCATGGGAGCCTTGTGGTACTGAGACAATGTCACAGAGCAAAGAGCTGGATCCAGATGTGACCAGACCTGGTGTGTCTTAGTAAGAGACAAGGACTTGCTGGGAGCTGTCCCCACCTTGGGTGTGCCTGACAGGGACACTTCACACCTGCATGGGCTTATTCTTTCCTTCTCACATGCAGAAGTCATCTGTGTCTCTGAAGGCAGTATCCTCATCTTCAAGTCATGATGGTCATTCCATGGTCAGTGGAACAGGTGGAGTTCCTGTATTCCTTCAGGGAGAGGGAGGAAGGCGTGCTAGAAAGAACCCCCTGTGGATGGGTCTCAGGTGGGGTGGGTGCAGGAGGCTGTGCAAAGTGAGGGGTGCCTCTTTCTATGGGTATCTCAGCAACCCTCTCTGTGGAGGGAAGAGACCAGAAAAAGGTAAAGCTGTTCTCGATAACAAAATTAGAGTCATTCTTTGTAGCCCAGAGAGTGTGTCCATGGCTATAATAAAATTCCTGAGACCAGGTCATCTATAAAGATGAGGATTATTTACCTCATGGAAGCTGGAAATTCTAAGAGCATGGAACTGTCATCTCCTAGAGGTCAGAAAGGACCTTATTGAGGCACCCTAAGATGGTGGACAGTATTGCAGAGCAGGGGTACATAATGGAGGAAAAGTTCGCACAAGGAGAATGCTCTGCACCATTGTTCTTACACAGGATGAAAAACACTGTGAGCTGCAATACGGAGGGCAGGCAGCAGAGAGCGGTGGGCAGCCGCAGCAGTACAGAAACAAGGCAGCAAAGACTCAGGCATCACAGGGCACAGGGAAGTTTACTAAGACAGGGCCATAGGCACGAGGTACCGGATATGGTTTTGGAATGAGAGGCATCACTGACAATAAACACACACAGTGAGCATACATGTGTGTTTCTTAGGGAGCAGAGTGTAGTCTTCAAAATGTGGGATTTGGAGCTGAGAGTACTGAGTTCAAGACCCGGCCCCTGAACCTCTATTAGGCTCATTACCTGATCTTCCCGATGGCTCCCTCAGCTTTAAAACAAGCCATAGCTGTCCTCACCCCATGGGGTGTGTGAGCCCTGAGGTGCAGGAAAGGAGGCTGCACACTGCAGACCCTCGATAAACACCAACCAACGTCATTAGTGAACACGGGTGTTTCTGGCCAGGTTCTTAGCAGGACCTGAGGCCTCAGCCAGGCAGGAGTTAGGACAGAGGGAGCTGGATCAGGATGACTGCCTTCCTTTAAATAGCAGCCGAGAGCCTGGGGGGCAGAGCTCACCCTGGGCGACATCTATTTTGAACTTCACTGCCTTCGTGGATGGAAGCCTAGGAGAACTAGCCCCTGCCTCTCATTGCCTTTGCTCCATCTGGCTGCCCTTCCATTTCATGACCTGTTTGCTCCTCCCCTCCAGCCTGGACACCCTGGTGAGCTGGAAGGAAAACTCTCAGAGACACCACTGCTGCTGACATCATGGCTACTGCTGGAAATGAGGCCGGCGCTCCCTCCCCAGGTACTCAGCTTCCTCTTCTCTGGGGGATCCTCTCTTCCCTCCCATTGAAGGGCATCTCTGGGGCAAATCCATTATGCAGAATAGTTGGGGATGCAAAAGGGGATCCTCTGAGGGCCATATGAATCTTCTGACCAGAGCCTGAGGTTTCCCTTCTGAGTCCTCTCCTCAGGGACAGGGCCCAGGTGCTCACTTTCTCCCCAGCCCTCCCCCTTTTTTTGGTTTTTTTTTTTTTTTTTTGGTTTTTCTCCGGTACAGGGAAACGAACTCACGACCTTGCGCTTGCCAGGCAGGCGCTTTTGCCACTGAGCTAAATCCCCAGCCCCCCCAGCCCTCCCCCTTGTCAGGGCTGCAGCTGAGCATGGGACTGTCTTGGGAGGCCCCTCCCACCTGTCCCAGGCACTGACCCTGGGGTATTGCCCACGAGGAGGCAGCTCCCTCCAGCCCCTGCCCTGTGGGGCCCCAGTGCTCCTCCAGGCTCAGGAGGAAGAGTGACCCAGAGTGCCATTGCACTGGAGCCCAGTGAGACCTTTGCCACCTCACACCTGTGTGACTTGGAGCCCCTCCCCTCCCCCATCACCAGAGAACAGTGTCCTGCAGGGTACTGTGAGGCTCAGCTATAGCAGGGTGAGCTCCTTGAGTGTGGGTCTCTCCCCTCCTGGAACTCTGTTACATTTTTTGCCCACTCTCTGCCTCCTGCTTCACCCACGGAGCTGTGTCCAGCACCTGCCCTGCCCTGCCCTACCATGACAGGCACCTGCTCACCAGGTGCAACTGCTTCCACACTGAGCTGGTTCCAATGAGCTCTCACAAAAGGAAAATCTAAGGGGAAAGGAAACAAGCTCCTCCCCAACGAGCTCCTCCTTCCCTCAGTCTGTTTTCTTCCCTCCACTCCACACCTAGAACCAAGTCCCTCCTCACTTCTTCTCCAGCCCTGAGAGCAAACTGTGCCATCAGGAGCGATGGCGAAGGACAAGGGAGGGGGAAGACTGGACCCGAGCAGGGCTGCGGCTGCTGGGCTCCCGGATGAACCTTTCTTGTGTAACAGTGGGCAGCCTGGGCCCGGATCCCACCGGAAAGTGTGTTTCCTGACCCCTGCAGAAATTGTCTCCAGAGTCCCAGGCCAGCTGCCTGATTCCTGACCAATCAGGGCCGGCTACTCCTTTCAACCCCAACTGATAAAAGTAGTGGTGGAAAGCAGGGAAGGAGCCTGGATGGGTGCAGCTCTAGGGAAGACACGAGGCCCTGTGTGGTCAGCCCGGCCTCAGAGGTGCTGTGCTGAGCCCCGGCTTCTACAGACAAGGGGCCTGCAGTGTGCACAGTCACACGGCCTGTGTCAGGGGGTCTGGTGGCCGTTGTCTCAGCACTGGGCAGGCGGGGCTTGTGCGAAGCGATGAGGAAGTGTCCACCTTGCTGTAGTTTCCTGCTGGACATGTGCAGGCCCCAGGAGGAGTCAGTGCTTTCACAGAGGCAGCCTCTCAGCCTTGTCCAAGATCACAAGGGTCAGAGAGGAGAGTCCAGCCCCACCTGCTCCCCGCCCACCTGAAGAAGTCCTCGCTGCCAGGCTCAGAGCACAAGGATCCTGTTTGCGTCACAGTTTTACCCAGTAGTGCATAGCTTCAAACATTTATATATTTTTAAAATTCTAACCAGTAAATTCTGAAGTACATTGCATAAGTCAGAGCAGCATTTAAAAACATGAACTGTTATAAAAAATTGGCCAGTTAAATTTGCAATTAAATGACGAGCTTTCATCTTCCAGGCTTTGGGCAGCCACTTTTCCTGGCTGGGTCTCAGTTTGTTGATGAAGTAAGAATAATGTGTGTCTTGTGAAGACACAGAACAAACGTTTTATATTATGTCTCAGCAGCACACAGGAATATACACTGGTACCCAGACCCTCGCCTGTAATTCCGTTACCTCCTGTCCTGCACACACACACTTTCTGGGTGACTCAGGCAGTAACTCTGCCCTCTGCTGACCTGAGAACACTTACAGCCTTTACACTGTTTACCGCATTTAAGGTGAACATTTATTTCCATGCCAACACATTAATGTATCTGACTGTCACGATTAGCAAGTAATAAACCACGTGTGCTCTGTGTTTTCTTTCTAAAGGATTGAAAACTCTTTTTAATTGTCTATATCAAAGTATATAGCTGGGTGTGGTGGCACATGTCTATAATCCTAGTACTTGGGAGGCTGAGGCAGGAGGATCGTTGTGAGTTCGAGACCAGCCTGGGCTACAAAGTGAGCTCAAGTCCAGCCTGAATTGCATAGTGAGACCCTGTCTCAAGAAGACAAAAAAAAAAACAAAAAACAACAACAACAACAAAAAACAAAGTATATAGTAGAAAAAATATTTGAATGTTCTCAACACAAACAAATGAGAAATGTTTGAGGTGATAATGTAGAATATTCCTTGAACTATCACACTGTACTTCATAAATACAATTGGTACGTGTTCATTAAAATAAATATTTGAAAGGTATTTTTAAAAGATTAAAAGTCTGGATTCCGGGCATATCTATGTCCCATGGATTAAGAGGTTCTTCTTTCCTGTCTTCTCTGTCTCTAAATATACATGCATTTACTCTCTATACTATGTCTTTAGTACAGTGCTTTGTCAGATCACAAACTCAATTCTCAACCTGGTTCTGGTTGTGAATCGAACTGCCTAAGAACTGAATCAAATTTCCCCATCAGGTCAACACTGAAGCTCAGCACTGGCTTTGATTCAGTTCTTTTCCAGCTCTGTTTGCCACCAGAATCCTGGAAAGGATGAAGTTCATGAACCGAGGTGCCACTGTATGTGTAATGTCACCTAAATAATTTGCAAAAGCAACACACAATCTTACTGTGCTCCACATGCTCTAATATTTAAAATTCTATTTCCTTTTAAAAATGATGCTCTTAACCCAATGAATTAATTTCAGAATATAACTGAGGGACTGAAACTCACATTGGAAGATGCGGGTACACACCAGGTGACACACAGTGCGCACAGAGTAGGTGACCTCATGCGTGGAAGTTTCCCACTCTGCAGGCTGAGGTTCACTTTCTGAGCTCTGTGCTGAAGGCGCTTTCCCGGTGTGCTAGTCCCCTCCTGGGACCGCCACAGGGTCCACAGGCTGGCAGCTTCAACAACAGAAGCCTCTTTTCTACTGGTTCTGGAAGTGAATCCATGATGAAGGTGGGGCAGGGCTGTTTCCAGTCAGGGCTTTTCCTGGTTTGCAGGAGTCTTCTCACTGTGTGTGCACATGGCCTTTCTCTGAGCATGGGGAGAGGGGGAGAGAAGAAGAAGAAAAGGAAGAAGAAGAAGGAGAAGAGGAAGGTGAAGAGAGAAAGAGAGGGAGAGAGAGAGAGAGAGAGAGAGAGAGAGAGAGAGAGAGAGAGAGAGAGAGAGAGAATTTGTTCTTATAAGGACACCAGTCCTACAGATTAGGGTCCTACCTTTACAATCTCATTTGATCTCTGTTATCACACCTCCGGAAAGCCCTATCTCCACACTTGGCCACTGGGGTTGAGGGTTTAACATATGAGTTTAGGGGCCACATTTTGGTCCTTAAAACTAGTGTCTCCATCTAAAGTGTCAGATATGACAGCGGCTCCATAATGAATATGAACCACCTGTGCTCAAAGCTGTTTACACTCTCCTGCTCTGTCACTGACCCTGTTCCTTTCTTCCTCCACCAGACAGTGACAGCTTTGTAGAGGTCGACATTGAGCATATCCTGGACACACTGAGCATTGAAGATGTGCAGCAACTGCTGAATGAAGGTTTCACCTGGGAGACATTGATGGAGATTACCGATTGGTTGAGGTCACCCCTACGGGGCGCCCCAGCAATGCTGCCAAGATCCTCACTGGAGTGGTATTCTCAGAGGTAGACACATCTCATCCAGGCGGTTCCTGTGGCAGGGGTTCAGGATGCCCCTTTCCCACAGTCCCTGAGGGACATGATCTCCACATCATTCCCTGGCAGTGAGTGGCCTCAGGGTAAAGGGAGAGGGCACCCACGGCAGGCAGCTCCCTGCTGCCAACTGTGAGTTATGTGGCCTTTGCTGGTCCCTTAACCATGTTCTGCCTTAGTTTCTTCATTCATCAAGTCACCTTGTGAGAAAAGTAGGCTAGTGCGTGAAGATGCTGAGCATGTGGCTGGCACACAACAGAGGCTGAAGCGAAAGTAACTCTGACAGGGCAGTAGGGAAGAGAGCAGGGCTGAGGCTGCTCCTTGCAGACGGGAGCCAGGGAGGACTTGCCTGAGAATGTCGTATAAATGTAGACCTCATCAGTGTGTTTCTGGGATTCTGGCTCAGGCCATTTATCTTTGCATCCAAGGAATTGTACCAACACAACAGGACACTTAGTTTTGAGGAAGTCACTTGTGGTTTTTGTAATCCAGGCTGCCCTTGAATTCCTATGTTGTCCAGGCTGGCATCAAACTTGCCATCCTCCTGCTTCAGCCTCCTGAGTGTTGGGAGGGCTGGTGTGTACCACCGTGCTAGGCCAGGATGCAGAGAGCCCACCATGGAGTAGGATAGAGCTGGGTGGACCCTGGCTGACCATCAGCTGCAGGGCTGCAGGCTGATGCCTGGGAGACCAGGACTGTGATGTGTTCAGTGGGAGCAGAGATTCAATCTGATGAGACTGTAGTGAGCTGGGAGTCAGAGGGGGAAGACAGCTTCCCAGAGGCCCACAGCAACCTGTGACAGGGTCAGAGCCAGGGCCCAGGATGGAGCAGACGGGGTCTGGGATGGAGCAGTGATAAGAAGCCTGGGGCTGCAGGGCTGGACAGAGTGAGAGAAGGCGGGTGCTGAGGCTCAAAGCACGAGGAGTCCCGGCCTAGCAGAGGATGCAGTTGGAAAGGGCTTGTTTCCTGCCCTTGTCATGACCCATCCCAGATAGCTCAGAGGGTTGTGCTCTAGAGTGGTTGTCTCCTCCAAGTACCCTGGTCCCCAGGGAGTTCTCTTCTCCCATTTGGGAACCTCTTCTATTCACACAGAGTAGCCCTGACCATCAGGAAGAAGTGGCTTAGTGTCAGACTGCTTGGGTAGAATGGTTCACAGCTTGTGTAGTTTGCTTTGTGTAGTTTGCGAGTCTGAGGACACTGGGAGTCCACAACACAGAGAGGACTTTCTGTATTATCGTGTGCAGTTTCAGGGTTCTCAGGCTCTAGATGCAGAGATGGGTCTCAAGGTCTCCAATTCACTGCATACAGTATTTGCACAAACTCATGAGAAGTGTCCTGGGCTAAGGGGTCATTTCTGCTCATGACATCATCAGAAAGGTCCTGGTCATAGGGTCAGGTGTGTCCAAGAGCTGCAAGGTAGGTAAAGAGGATGGATCTAGGGTAAAGGCCAGGTCTCCTCCTTCCCAGTCAGTTCAGGCAACAGCTGGATCCATCAACCTTCAGCTCAAAGTGCAAAGGGCACCAGATACTGGAATAGAGTGGGTGGGAGATCACCTGATTTTTTTTATCTCTTTTGCCACAGAGGGTTTCCTTTTTATATCTTATTGCTCAGAGTGAACCAAACTGCAAAGTCCAAAGGCACAGTCTCCCAGACCAGCCTTATTTTTGAACCAACTGAAAATCTGAGAACTCGCTGAAACCCTATGCGGGTGTGACAGTTCACTAGAGGGACTCAGATAATTGCTGCACATGTCTATTACACACTTACAGTGTATCACGGGGACATCCCCAGGGTAAAACCAGTCATAGAGAGGGCACCAGAGTGCAGAGTCCGACAGGTTTCAAGCACAAAGCTTGCATTTTCCACAGGACACAGTGTGCTACCACATGTGGTGCATGATATTCACAAGGGCATACCGGGCTGCAGGGCTCAGCCTGTGAAGGAAACATCACCCTCAGGCATGGCTGAGGAGGTGCTGGATGCACTGGAAAGCCAAGGTCAAAGCCTACTGGAAAAGAGGGTCAGAAGATCCTAACAATGTTTTGGTCCTGCCTTGTTTTCCAGACTTCAGGGCTGACCTGAAGTTTACCTGCTCCTGGAGGTCAATCCTTTTAGTCTGCAGTCTCTCTGGAAGCCAGAAATGATCCCAAAGCCCCTAGGATCTTTCACATAGTAAGGATGAGCATCCATTATAGGAAATCCCTGGAATAAGGAGTGTTTTCCATGATAGATGTTTTCTGATTTTGCAACATTTGCTGATACATTAAGAGATAGCTTGTGAATATGCTCAAAAAAACCATGACATTCATTTATGTTTCTCTACACCTTGTGTGCATAGCATGGAGTAATTTCACACAATTTTTTCAGCAAGATTGTGTTTTGAATGTGACTCATCCCTTGGGTGAGGCATGGAACTTTCTACTTGTGGCATTATGTCCATGTTGGTGCTCAAAGGTTTCAGATTCTGGTGCTTTTCAGATTTATGTTTTTGGAGTAGGAATGCTCAGCCAGTATTTTCCCCAGCAAGCACGGACACTCCTAATAGTCAGGAATTCCAGGGACCTGAAGATCACAACCTTGTAGCTGAGGGCAAAGTGCAGGTTTCCCTTTGATTAAGGTTTACCCCTCACTATGTATTAATACTCTCTGAACTAAGGCTCTCCCCACTGTTGTTCAGTTCTCTGTGTTCATCTGCAGAGTTCCTGCTCCACAAATACATTACTCATCAGGCACTGACCTTGCATGAGATGGTACTTTATCAAATACCCACCATTAAAGGGCATCTGAAAATGATGTACAGTCATGGGCCCCTTTATGAAATAATGATATCTAAAAGAAAAATTCTGTGCATCTGTGTAATCCTTCTTCACTTGATTATAATGATCCTCTGTCATGTATGCAGGATAGAGCTTACACAGCTCATTTTCCAAACAGCAAAACTGCTTAACATTTGGTCTTTACTCTTCCAGGGAGGAGGCAGATGCTGTGCGTGAGGCTCTGACTGAGCCTGAAGCAGACAGTGATGAAGACTTTCAGGCAAGGGAGATGTTCTTGAATGCATTTCCTCTTGTGAAAAAGGAGATGCAGGAGGGCATAGCCAAGCTCTACACACTTGCAGAGAAGGTTGACAAGTTGCACAAGGACTGCACCATCATCAACATGGTGGCCAGCTCCAGCAGTGCTGTCTCTGGCATCCTCACCATCCTTAGCCTGGCTCTGGCACCTGCGACAGCACGTGGCAGTCTGTTGCTCTCAGCTGCTGGAAAGGGGTTCAGAGCAGCTGCTGCTGTGACTGCTGTTTCTGCCAGCATCTTAGACCACTCAAGCAGGTTGTCAGCACAAGCTGAAGCTGGACGCCTACTGTCAAGCAGCACAGACACAGAGAAGGAGGTTCTACAGTTTGTGAATGAGGTCAAGCCCAGTGTTGTTTCTGCAACAAGGATGTTTATGCAAGCCTTTGAAGACATTGAGAAAAGTATCAGTGCCACTAACGTGGTCAAATCCAAACCTCGGTTACTAGCCAAAGCCAACCACCTCATGAGAACTGGCGAAATCTCAACCCGAAGTGCTGAGAAGGTGAAGAAAACCCTTGGAGGCACTGTTCTGGCAATGTCCAAAAAAGCCCGGATCAGGGGTGCAGAAGATGCTGGTGTTGCCCTTCTGAAGGATGTATTCAACCTTGTGCGTGACTCAGTGCATTTGCAGGAGGGGGCAAAGACAGAATCAGCTGCAGAGCTGCGGAAGCAGGCTCAGGTTCTGGAGAGGAAATTGGAGAAGCTCATCCAGATCCATGAGAGTTTGCAGTGACTACGTGACAGAGGCCCCAAGCTGTGCAGGGCTCAGGGCCCAGGTGCATTTCAAGAGTATGTACAAAGGCAGAAAGTGCTGCAGAGGGGAAAAGAGGATGAGATCAAGTTTATGCAACTGGGTGTTAAGGAACTGTACATTTTTGTGGCTGAGCCCAAGCTGGGAGGGGTTAATGCAGATGAAGTGGATTAAAGAGAAGGCAGGGCACAGGGGCTTGAGATAAGGGAGAAGCAGTGACTAAAGAGTGTGAGAGATAGGAGGAAAGAGTTCTTTTTGTCGTAAGGATTCACTGGGGACCTGGCTAGAAGCAGCTGCAGGAAGAAGCAGTGGGAAGTTCAAAGACGGATGCGCAGAAGTTGGAAACAGCCAGAGTGTGTGTCTCCTGCCAGGTGAACTGGGCTCCCTGCAGGTTTGAACTCAGTTCCTTGACTTCCGGCTGACTTGAACTTGGTCCACCTCACCTGATGCCAGGAGCTGCTGGATGGAGACAACAGTTGCTTTGCATTCCGAGGTCAGTTGGCCCCTCTCGGGGATGCTCACTGGCTAATCCCACTCTTCTGGGCATCTTTGAATCCAAATAGCTCACCAGCCATTGCCGTCTACTGCACCCACTGCTCCGTTGCACTGGTGCCTTTCTCTGCGGAGGCTCTGGAGTTGCCAGTAGTCACCATGCACCTCCAGGTTCAGATCATCCTTCCCACACTGTGTGTCAGGGCTCAGGGAGAATGCCCTGCTTGCCACCTCCCTCTTTCTTGTTGAAGTCTCTTTGTTTTCCCCATGGACTTCAATTTTCACATCAGATCCTCCCTAGATCCCAGTGACCCATCCGGACACAAATGTCAGAGAGGCTGTTTCTCTGCTGTTCACCATGCTACCACCTTCCCAGAGGCTGCAAGTGTGCTGATCTTACCACAGCCATCTTGAATCCTAACTGATATCGTTGTCCCTGAGGAACATTTACCTTCTCTTCCCTGCACTGTTTCTCATCATACCATAGATAAACACAACCATTATTTGGAATTTTATTTCTATTTATTTATTTCTACACAAAATTTATTTGGAATTTTGCTGCCAGATCCAGGTGATATCAGTCCCAGGAATGTCCTAATGTTTTTGATGTTAGCTTGAGAGAAACCAGGTACCTTCCAGCTTGGATGGGCTCACTCGGGTAAAGTTTATGAAGATCCATCAGTCTTGCTTCTGCCCTTGAGCAAGGTTCTGTACACTGACACTCAGTAAAGGTTAGACTGTCTCATTCTGAATCTTTCTGCCTATTTCTTTGGTCTGAGTGCATCTTCTTCCTTGGGTAATCAGTTAATTTATACCTAATTTTCAGGGAATAATCAGTTTATATTTGTTAAATCAGAACATGAGATAGAAAGAGCCAGACAGACCGGAGATATTACCTTGTACAGCAGCTCCTTCCCAACTGACCAAAAACCTGAGGTTCAGAGAGGTTGATCTCTTGACACCCACCTGACTGAGCTCTACAGACCTCCAGGTTTCCCTGACATATTCCCAGAATCTTATTCCATCTCCCTCAGAAATTAATGACTATTCCAGTGCAAGACTTGGAATTTCATTAGAATTTCTGTGAAAAGAGGGCTGGACACATGCCACGTGCTCCATTAACACTGCTGTCATGATCACCACCATCACCATTATCAAGAAGTCACAGCCTAAGCCAGGCACAGTGCTGCATGCCTGTAATTCCAGCATTTGAGATGCTGAAGCAGGAAAATTTTTAGTTCAAGGCCAACCTGACGACAGAGTGACAATTTGTCTCTTAAAAGACGGAAGAAGAGAAGGATGAGAAGGAGATGGAGACAGAGAAGGAAAAGGAGAAGAAGGGGAAGGGGGAAAGGAAGAGAAGAGGGAAATGAAGGGGAAGTACAAAGGGAAGGGAGTGGAGGACCACCAGGGTGACGCTGCTTGAAAGACAAGCAACTGTCTCCATTTTGGCTAATCTGACCCTATTTCCATGTACGGATACATACAGAGCTGGCTAGGACTTTTCCTTATCACTTCAACTGGATTTAAGCAATGCGTATTGGTCTGGCCAAGGTGGTGATGGTAACTTTAGAACACAGCAGGCGTGTTTCCCGGACTCCTCATTGTTCCCTTGTGTGAGCCGGGATGAGGTGGGATGTTGAGCCAGTGTTCCACACTGTCAGCTGGGATCCAGCCTCCTTGGGACAGAGGTTATGACTTCCTGGGGCTTGAAAGATTACAAGGCAGAGCTGAGGCACAGACCCAAAAACATTAGATACTATCTCAACTGTGTTATGCAGATTACACTTTCTGCACATCCTTCTCTCTGCATTTGCAGAGGTGATTTCAGGCCTCCTGCCTAGCCCAGCTCATGGTACCTAGTACTTCCCATGGTTCTCACAGTCACTCATCCTCAAGCCACTCCTTTCTTCATGAATGAATAAAACCTGGGTTCAGCCTTGGGTCAAGGCCTTTGTTCTAGATATGAACATGGCTGGACTTAGGAACCCTTGGCTCCCCATAACTACAAATATGCGTTAATGTTTTTATTCTCACCATGTTCACACTGGAAGTGGTAGATTGGAATTAACTCACTAGAATTCCCATAACTTTTCATGGGATTACAAATGTAAACTTCCTGGGCTGCAGCGAGGACCTGGAGGGCTCTCTACAGAAAAGGGCAAGAGGAGGAGTTGTGGAGAAGAGGAATGGAGGGAGCAGGAGGTTGTTACTGCTAGACTAAGGCAAAGGTGAGTTGACTCTGGAAAACAGGACTAGAGAACAAGGAGGAAACAAAGTGATGTTGCCAGGATGGGAGACTGTGAAGAGCACAGACAGAGGAATGCCTGTTTGTCTTTTATTTTTATATTTTAGTAGTAAGTGTTTTGCAGTACGTAATGATTATATTCACCATGCGGAGTTAGTACATGTATATAAAACACCTTAATTCTTTTATTTCCCTTCCTTCTACCCTCCCTCCACCTTCCCTCAATCTCTAGGTCTCCTTTTACACTCCTCTTTCTTCTGTGTTTCAGCAAGTATAACTCTACTTCCTTCCATTTTCAGCTCTATCGTGTTCCTGATCTTCCCATTGTTTGTTCCTAAAATTTGTCTCTTTTCATGCTGCCAAAGTATATTTAGTCCAAAATATACACTTTCTTCCTATTCCCACACTCTCTACTCCCTTCTTATCACTAATTTCTCTAGATTCTCCAGATAGACTCCAGATTCTTGACTGACTTTGACCCACTTGCTATCTGCATTAACATCTTCCTTAAAAAAAATCTTCTGTGCATTGTTCAACCACAAAAAGTTCAAACTCCTTAACACTCATTTGCATAGACTTTATCTTATCCTCTATATTAATCATTTTTCTGATAGTTGGAAAAATACCCAACACATTCAACACACAGTTGGAGAGATTTCTTTTGTCTCACAGTTTTAGTGGGTTCAGTCCATGGTTGGCTGGCTCCAAGGCAGAAACCACAAGGTAGAAGGGCCTGATGGAGGGAAGCTGCTCCACCCATGGCAGGCAGAAGTAGAGAGAGAGGAGAAGAGTTAGGTAGACGAATAATCCCTTTCAGGTCACACCCACCCACAGTGATCCTCCCCTTCTCCAATTAGGCCTCATAGCTTAAAATATTCAGGCATAAAATCATCAATAGATTAATCCATTGATGAGTATAGTGCCAGCAGGATCCAATCACCTTCCAAAATCCCTACCTCTGAACACAGGAGATTCTGAGAGACATTTTAGATCTGGGGCTTCAAGAGTGTGAAGAGAAATACGTCATATGCTGGCTGACCTGGGAGAGATCTTACAGAGAGAGAACTATGCCTTTTTTGTACCACTCTGTGTGCAGGTATAGAGAGGCAGAGAGCAAGGAAACTCCAAGTAGTCTGGACTGGGTGTGTGGCAGAGCAGTGGAGTGGGGGTTGGAAAAGCATATGGTTTAGAGTAGAGAAGCAGCATGCAACCTGGTCCACCTGAGCCCCATGGCCTGCACCCATAGCTCTATGAGTGGCATCAGGCCCTCAGAGGCAGTCTTAGGTGGAATTGGGCTGGGCACAGAGCAGCTCACATGCTGAGCTAGGCAATCACTCTCTCGTGGCAGTAGTGAGGGCAGGGTGGCACAGCATGGGTTTACCAGGCAATGCCTTGACCCAGGGCAGTGGCCCACTGTGCACTTAGGTCCAGAGGTGTAAGATGGGGTGAGGAGGGCACAGGCCCACGTATTACTTACCTAGGCTGGACTCAGGTTCTGTCTCATGGAGGGAGGGCTTTGCATTGAGGCACTGTGGGAGGCTTACTGGTGGGCTGTGCATGCAGTAGGAGTGGTCGCACTCTGCACAGGAGTGCAGGTTGGACCTTGGTATCTATGGTGGAACTCTGTACCTGCTATGCCCTGCTGCCAGGGCTGTGAGGGTCATGAGTTGTCTCAGGGCAGGGAGGGCCAGGCTTGACTGGGAAATCAACCCTGACACATGATTTTCTGGATGAGACAAGGATTGAGGTATGTGGTTTGAGACTTCCTTGTGATACAGGTAGCGTATCTGGGGCTCTGGGTCATGCACCTTCATCCACTTGAATTTAGATAATACCCCAAGGCCAATCCTGCTCCCACTGTCCTAGCAGAAGCAGAAATATGAAGAACAAAGACCCAAGAAATGTTTAAATCTCTGGGCCACAGTACATGCATTTTAGATCACATAGTTTGATAAACATTTTCCCCTCTTGAACTTCATTAATGGTTCATACATAGGGCCCGCATGTCATACATGGGAAGAAAAGAGAGTGAGCTGTGGGAGAGTCATGTGCACTGGATGCCCCTGGGGTGACCTGTGCACTGCACATCATTTCTGTAAATCATATCCAGAGAGATCCAGTGAGAGGCACTTGGGGTGGAGCGCACATCATTTAAATCCAAAAGCCTGATTTACGTCATCTCCCTGTTCCTCCTCCATCCCAGTACCACTTCCTCCTGTTTGTGCCACCCTTGTACTGGTACTGGCACTAATCTGCATTTCCTGTGCACACCTTCCATGTTACCTTCCATACATGCAGCTCCTTTTGCTTTAACCATCTGTGTACACTTGCAATTCTTAGCTAGCCAGACAGAAGAATCTGAAAGCTGCCCTTGGACCCATCCACACTGCATCCTGGGGAACTGCCCTGACACCTCCAACCTATCGGGTTAGAGGATTAGTTGCCTCTTATCTTTGGCATCTTTCTCATGACTTTCACATACAATTTCTAAAAGAGGTCATGGTTGTAACAATAGGAGATAAAGAAAAGACCGAAGGAAAAAAACCAGGCAAAGTTAGATAATGAAGAGACAGGAGCAAAGGACTAATACTAATTCTCTGGAAAAATAAGAGGACACACAGCTCACAGACTAGTTCAGAAAGCCCGGGACTGTCAGCCAACATGAAGTGGGGTCTGGGCCCCAAGAAGGACTCAGAGGTACCCACCAGGTGTGCAGTGTGGTTGGCAAGTGCACAGGGTCTCTGCTACTGTGTGGCGTGGGCCAGGTGACTGTACTAGTGAAGATGGGTCTTCTCTCACAAAGCAAGACAAAATATAAAATTGAAGCACACAGACCCAAAAAGTGAATTCATCCATAAAAAAGATGAGCTCAAATGGGCAAAAATAAAATGGCTACAGACATCTTTACCAAAATTGCTCCTAGGTGTTTGGAGAACAGTTACTTTTGAGAACACATTCAGTTATATAGATCATGTTGTACTACACACACACACACACACACACACACACACACACACAAAATCATTGTTCTCTAAGTCACAATGAAACAAAAATCTTATGAAAGCTCTGCAGTATAGTGTTTTGCATTCCCATGCAAATCACAACAGAGATCTCTAAATATGGCTTAGTCTAAGCCTTTGAAATTTCCTCCAAGCAAACTGGAATCAAGTCACAAAACTCCAAAGGACCTTGCACACAAGAGGCTCAAGAAACTTGAATTCCAAATTAGCTCACGAGAAAACTCACATTGGCTCATAAGCGCTGGATGGGCTCACAAGAAGAACCAAAGGCAAGCAAAAAGAAGTGCAGGGCATGCTGTGCACCTAGATGTCAAATTTGGAGCCCAGAGATTCCTTGAAAAGATTTAATTTTCCATTTTATTAAGAGGGACAAAGGCAGACACTACCTCAAAGAGAAAGACACCCTTCTTATTCCCATCCTCCAGGGCCAAGCAGGCACTGGTTGAAGCCCCCAGGGCACATCATGTCCACAGCGATGATGATA